AAAAGGACAAATATTGTATGAGACCACTATTATAAGAACTCAAGAAATGGTTTAACCACAGAAGAAAACATCTTTGATGGTTACGAGGGTGGGGAGGGAGGGAGAGGAGTATTCACTACCTAGATAGTAGATAAGAATTATCTTAGGTGAAGAGAGAGACAACACACAATACAAGGGAAGTTAGCACAATTGGACTAAACCAAAAGCTAAGAAGTTTCCTGAATGCAACCAAACACTTCAAAGGACAGAGTAGCAGGGGTGGGAGTCTGGGGACCATGCTTTCAGGGGACATCTAGGTCAACTGGCATAACAAAGTTTACTAACAAAACGTTCTGCATCCCACTTTGGTGAGTGGCGCCTGAGGTGATAAAAGCTAGCGAGCAGCCATCTAAGATAAATCAATCAGTCCCAACCAACCTGGACCGAAGGAGAATGAAGAACACCAAAGACACAAGGAAAATATTAGCCAAGAGACAGAAAGGGATACATAAACCAGAGACTGCATGAGCCTGAGACAAAATAACTAGATGGTGCCCGGCTACCACCAATGACCGCCCTGACAGGGTACATAACAGAGAGTCCCTGACGGAGCAGGAGAAAAGTAGGGTGCAGAACTCAAATTCTAGTAAAAAGACTAGACTTAATAGTCTGACTGAGACTGGAGGGACCCTGGAAGAAATGGCCCCTGGACTCTCCATTAGCCCAGAACTGAAACCATTCCCAAAGCTAACTCTTCAGACAAAGATTGGACTGGACCATGGGACATAAAATGATACTCATGAAGAGTGCTTCTTAGCTCAAGTAGATACATGAGACTAAATGAGCGGCTCCTGTCCAGATGGAAGATGAGAAGGCAAAAAGGGACAGCAACTGGTTGAATGGATATGAGAAATCTGGGGTGGAAAGGAGGAGTGTGTTGTCACATTATAGGGAGAGCAGCTAGGGTCAGATAGCAATGTGTGTATAAATTATTGTATGAGAAACTGACTTGAACTATAAACTTCACTTAAAGCACAATTTAAAAAAAAAAAGCAGGCAGAGGGAAAAGACAGATTATGTGCAAAGGATGAGTAATAAGAACAACCACAATGAAAACCACAAAACAGAGTACCACCTTCTATGTGATGCAAAAAAATAATTAACTGAGAAATGTATACACAGAAAAACTATCTTTCATCAGTTGGGGATAAAATGAAGACCTTTTTAAACAAATAAAAACCAAGAATGTTTAACACAAACAAAAAACCAACCAAACTCATGCTGTCATGTTGATTCCAACTCATGGATACTCCGTGTGTTAGAGAGTAGAACTACTCCAGAAGGTTTTCTTGGCTGTAATCTTTATGGAAGCATATTTCCAGGCCTTTCTTTCGCAGTGCTGCTGGGTGAGTTTGAATCACTAACCTTTAAGTTAGTAGTTGAACACAAACCATTTGTGCCACCCAGGCACCTGCTTTAATACAAACAGATCCTCATTAAAAAAAAATTATAATGAATGCACTATAGGCAGATAGCAAATGATCTCTGATGGAAGGGTATAGATGCAAGAATGAATGGTAAACATAAATATTGAAAAGTATGAAGATAAATCTAAATAAACATTGTGTGAAACAATAATAATGTCTTATTTTTGATGGATTAACTAAAAAAGATAAAAGTAAAATATTGGACAAGAGTAATACATGTTAGAAAGCAGTAATGGAATTTAAGAGTTTTAAGGTATTTACATATTAATGAGGAGGATAAAGATACTGTTTAACTTTAAGCATTATGAGGATGCCTGTTAAATTATTTCAGGGTAACCACTAAAAGACCAATCACAGAAGGTATAAGTTTCCAATTAATGGAAAAAATTAAAAGAAAAATTTAAATAATTCAAAAGAAGACATGAAAAAAAGTAAAAGAGAAAAAAGTGGGACAAATAGAAAACATAAAATAGCAAAAAGGAAATAATTCCAAATATATTAATAATTATAAAAATGCAAACAAACCACATTCTCCAGTTAAATGACAAAAAAAAGCTATTTTAGAATTAAAAATAAAACAAAAATAGCTCTATATTCTTTACAAGAGAAACACCTAAAACATAAGGACACAGAAAAGTTAAAAATAAAAGGATGAAAGATGAATTCCAGTGACGACTTAACCAAAAGAAAGCTGATGTAGTCTTATTATTATTAGACAGATTTGTTATTAAGGCAAAATGTAGTACTAGAGACAAAGAAGGTCATCATATAATGATGAAATTTTTTATTCCACAAGATGATATAAAAGTTCTAACAGCCTCAAACCTTTGGGAGACAAAAATTGACTGGAATTAACAAATCCACCATCACCATGGGAGATTTTTAACAGATCTTTCTCAGTCACTGATATGTCAAGCAGATTAATAAGCATAACAAGACAGGAAATTTGAACAAAACAAGTGACAGATTTTATCTAATGGACATAAATAGAACACTGAACCTAGCAAGTGAGAATACAGATTCTTTTGAAGCATAGATGGAATATTTATGAAAATTTACCACATTGGTGGCCATAAAGCAACCTCAACTAATTTCAAAAAATAAATATCATAGAGTCCACCTTTTCTCATGATAATAAAATTATAAGTCAATAACAAAAAGATGATCAGAAGATCTCTGTAACATTTTAAATTTAAAATTCAAACAACACCTAAGAGTCAAACTATAAACCATAAGAAAAATTAGAAAATATTAACTACTAAACAATATTGACAATACAATGTAATAAAAACTTGTAGTACTAACAGGGAAATTTATATTTAAATGGAGGATTAAAAATTTATCTCCTAACCATCCAAATTAAGAAAATGAATAATAGAATAAACCCAAAGAAAGTAGAAGAAGGAAATAATTAGAACAAAAATTAACAAAATAGAAAATTTATATACGAGAGTCAGAAAAAGCCAAAAGTTGGTTCATGGAGACATTAATAAATAAACCTCTGGCAAAAATGCTGACCTGGAAAAGAAAGAGAGAGAAGACACAATAAACAATGTTAGGAATGAGCAAAGGGACAGCACTACAGATGCTACAGAAAATAAAAAGTTAAGATGATATTGTAACTAACCTTGTGCTCATAAATTGGAAACTTAAATAAAATGGGAAAATAAACTCTCCAAAAAATGATTTAAGAATGAATAGAAACTTATTCTGACAAGAATTAATCTCACGAGAAAACACCAGGTGCATAAGGTTTTACTATCAAGTTCTATCAAATATGTAACGAATAGAAAACCAATCTTTACATAAACCTCCCAGAGAATAAAAGAAGAATGATCACTCCCCAAGTCATGTTATGATGCCAGCAAAATCAGCAGTCAGGAAAAGACTGCTAATGGCCAAACTCTGTCACAAACATAGATTTTTTTTTAAGTCCTTTTAAAAATTAGCAAATCAAATTCAGCAATAAACATATTGTGAACAAGCTGGTTATGCAGGAATTTTAAGATTAGAAAACCAATTGATTTACCAGATTAACCAATGAAACAAGAAAAAGCATAATCATCTTGGTAGTTGGACACTTGACATCCATTCTCCTACCTGGACCAAGCCCCAACATTGAAGTTTGATAAATGGGGTCTCTCCTTGGATAAAAATATGCAATATCTTGCAGGAAAGTGCACCATGGTGTTCAAAGGCAATACGACTTGGGAAAGGGGTAGGTAGGATAATTTACTGCAATATTAATTTGTGTTTGGTCATTGCTGCTTTAGAGGAATGAGATAAATACCTGTTATTGCTGTTTTGTTCTTTTATTTTTCATCCCACCTCAAGAGAAAAGTGGTTCTTCGTTCTCCCTTACTTCAGTCAAATTCTGTGTTACAGAGTTCAAAGTAAAAAGCTGTTTACAAAACTCTGAGTTCATTGAGGAGATTGGCCTGCAGAAGTAAGAGGAGTTAGGGGAAGTGGAAGCAGCAAGAAGGAACAGGAAGAGTCCCCATGATTAGGAAGGATATAGAGATTTGTGTCCTGCTAGTCACAAGACCTGACCCAACTCCTTGGTAGTGACTGGGTTGGACCCTGGAAGGAGAAGCCTACCAAGCACACCCAGGGAGGCTGATCCCAGGAACCAAGACAACCAGCATCAGCAAAGATCCTAA